TATGTTTCTCTTTCCACAAAGGACCGACGTCCATGTTGAATTCCACTGACTTCTGTCACCAGCAGGGGGCGCACATGGTCGTCCTAGACTCGGAGGAGAAAGAACTCACCAGAGATATTGAAAGTAGGAGAAAAGGGGTGGATCTTGATTTTAGAATAAGCTAACGCAAATTTTAATTTGTTAATTTCTTACTGCCAGAGTCTAGGAATCCCCCCTTTCATTTGTTTGGTTTCGATGTTAAACAAAATAAATTAGGAGAACATATTTTACAATAATTGAATTAATTCTCTTCACTTGTTTGGTAATCTTTGTAATCCTGGCAATTTACAGCAGAACTTTATGCTGTTTTATTTTTTTTTTGTTATATATGTGGATATTAGCCTAATTTTCTATATATAAAATAGTTGTATACGTTGTGCCTTACACTATAAGAAACAAACCTTGTAGTTCTGATAATAAACTGGAACCTTTAATTGAATGTGACCTATTTAATCTAGTTAAATGTAAATTTGTCAGTTTGTGAATAATTTATAAAGAAAAATTAAATAAAATAAATTAAAAAAAAAAAATAGTAAAGTTTACGTAGAGACAAAGATCGATCAGGTACTAGGATATAGCCTTTCTCACAATGAATAAGATATGATTTGATAAAAATTTTCCATTCAAATAAAGTAATTCCCCATTGTTGTTTTTTTTCGATATCGAGCGTCAGCATGTGCATTCATCTTTGAAAAACAGTCATATCAGAAGGATACCGAGATAACAAACAATATTCAATATCCAGAAAACAAAACAAAATAGGAGCATAGCAAACACGGACCTACGAAACTTCATGGATGGGATAAGGTGCCATGGAATGACCAGATAAAAAAACAAAAAATAAAATTTGTAAAATTGTTTCTTATAGAAAAAATATTGCAGTTGCTCATTTGAAAATTGTAAACAAATTATTTCAGGTTAAAATGCAATTTCTACCTATTGGAATTAGTGCATCATATCTTCAAATGGGGATTTTTTTTTTAACCTCCCTTGAGTGAGAAGTTTTTGGAAAGTTAAAACTTTTTTTAAACTGAATGATGGTAGTAAATCTTAATTCTCTGAGATTGAAGAGATCGGGTCAAATATTTGTATATCTTTAAAATATAACCTTATTTCTCATATAACTATATTTCAAATTTAAAGCTTATTTCTCATATAAAGAGTACATGACTTAAAAAGGCATTTCTTTTAAATTGATTCATCAGAAACACATATATATATATCCCATTGCTTGTGTAAGAAAGCTTCAGATATAATATCTGGGTTTTTTTAATGTTTTTTTATATATTTTTTTTTCCTTTTACAAATGATAAACCGAGGCCCCGTGTCGCAGTAGGTGCTGGCACGAAAAAGATCTCTCACTGCTCAAAGGCCCTGAGTGCCGAGAATAGGACAAAATTTGTAGCCCTCCATCGGCAAGTGGTGGCGTCTCCATATGAGTGAAAAATTTTCGAGAGGGACGTTAAACAATATACAATCAATCATTTTATAAATGAAAAATATATATAAATATTTAAATATTTATAAGCTTATACTCACTTGATCTGTAAAAGTGCATAGATTGATAGACACTTTGAAGGTTTGTTATACAAAATAACAATAATTGTTTTAACAATACATGTATTCTTGATGCTGTAAAAATAACCCCAAGTTAATACATTTTATATAAGATAAAAATACTATGCTTGTAAAGTAAGGACAATATTCTTAATTCATTTGTTCTCTTTCCAAATTGTGCATATTTCATCAAGCATGGTTTAAAATGTTCACTAGAGGTATTGTGAGCAATGAGCTCACTAAATGATACCCCCGCCTCCCATATAAATATAATGGCAGTGTCCATGTTTTGCTCTGGAAAATCATAAATATATGTCAGATCAAAAGGTAAAATAAGAGGTGCACAAAAGCAATATGTAATTAAGAATCTGTGAAAGTTTCATTAAATTTCCTTAAGCGGTATGAGAGAAGTTGCGGATAAGAGATGGATACCCCAAAGCGTAACAGACGGACGGACGGACGGAAATACCGATTACTATATACGCTCCCACTTTTCAAGCGGGGGGTATAAATATAAACACTTTCCTAATGCAAAGGTATGTAAAACAAAATGAAAATTGCATTGTTTAGATTTTTTCACTGTACATTTTACAGATGCGAAATATATCATATTTTCACGAGACTGAATCTAATTATTTCTTCCCTAGGGATTTTGAAAATTGTTTATTGTTATATTAATTGTTTTAGGACTAAAAAAATCAAATGTTTAATGTCGCGATTTCAATGGGGTTCATCTAAAATGTTGTTAAATTTTATAATTGAACCCTTTGGGAAAATGTTCGAAAAACGCCAAATAATTACATTTTTCCATATTTTTTGTACTTCTGCCCTAGAGATTTCTTTTTAATTTAAGAAGATGGAAGGTGTAAGAGTCACCAAATTGTGAAATGTAGAAAAAAATGACCATCTAGCTTGATCTAGGAATTAACTACTAAGTTTATTTTTTTTCAAAGCCCAATACATCTAAATTTGCCACTTTACGGTATGAATACACATTAAATATCACGTCTTTGTGACAAGAGCTTTCTATTGAAACCACCAATTTAAACATTTTGACCTTAGACATTACGCATTTACAAGAAAACTTTAACTGACCATAACTTTTGAATTGTAAGGTTTAGGTCTTTCAAACTTCACTTATGTAGTCATTGTTAGAAGAACTTTTATTTGATAACAACACTTTTAACACTTTGACGTTGACCTTGGTTTTTTGACCTACTTTTTACAAACAAATCGGAGTTTGTCCTACCTTTAAAAACGCTTACCTTGGCCGTAACCTTTGAACATGTGGTGCTTGGGTTTTCTGTCATATTTGTATTTTTTTGGGAAAGGCCTTAGTTTATGTACCAACATATTTGATCTGCATTTGAGAAACCTTAACCTTCGCAATGTTCCCATACGGGGGCATCAGTGTTTTACAAACACATCTTGTTATTGCATGCTGTTGTTTCTTGGGAGGATTTAAGATGTAAACCCCATACACCTGGGTATATACGTAAACAATTCATTCATAACATGCTTTCATATTTATCAAATGCATACAATAACAAAAATATTTTGTCAAATTTCTCTACAATGCAATTAATTAAAAAATTGATACTCGTTAATAAAAAATTATCTAGATTATATTTAAACACCTTTGATAAAAAGTTATTTAGATTTTTTTTTTTTTGCTTTCTATAAATCTGATTTTAAAATTTAAATGAAAAAAACTGCATATTAAACCTGGAAAATATATTACTGCAGTGTATCAATTTTTTTTTTTATTTCTAATTTCACCCATAAACATTATATTCCTTTGTTATTCAAATTGAAATAAAGTTTGGCTTAGGTTTGCTTATGCTCGTTAAAAAATATTCTGTTGTTACACATACCACGACGCAAAAAAGAGAATACTTTCCCTTCAAATGTCTACTGAATTTGGATACAGCGGATCAAATCTTATAATTTTTAGAGCATTCAGGATGTAATGCAACAACTCATATTGTATCGATGGTGTTTCAAATTTGAAGATTATAAAATTTTTTTCTTGTCCTTTTCTGCAGAAGTTGATCTCAACGGTTCATTTGCATTTCGTGCCAGTGTTTTGACATTTGACGACAATGAAAGACTCATTTTTGATAATTGGACACCAGTGACGTATCAATACTGGAATCCTAACGATGAGGGCGAGACAGCAGTTGACCCAATCTTTGGCCTCCTTTTGACTTTACATAACCACGGCAGGTGGCGCTGTGTGACTGAGAGAAAGTACACGTACTATACGGGAGAAGACGGACTAAAACTCCGCTTTATTTATAAGGATTCTCCATTTTATTTGGAGCATGAAGAGTGTTCTGTTACATAATGATTTATTCTCTTTTAATTAAAATAAACATTTGCAATCATTATCTTTTGTTATATAATTTCATTAAGCATGGTGTATAAAGTTCTAAATCATTAAATGGAGTATTCTTAAGTTAACATTGGATCGTACATTCCTCTCCTCGGAAGAGATCTAACTTTATCCTTGGATTGTATATCCGTCTCCTCGGAAGAGATCTAGGTTTATCCTCATGTTTTAAATAAACTATTAATAGCATGTACACAAAAACAGACAGTGCATTATATTGTTTAGTTATTTTCCCAAGGAAACTGACTGGGATCTCCTCTCACCGTACATACAAACATTTTAGAACAAAGTGTTGTTTTTAAAATTTCTATCCGTAATCCAAAAAATAAGGGGCAAATATATTTTCCTAGGACGGTCGGTCCAGTTGTCTGTTTGTTTGTTATTTTTTTTTTCCTGATTTATCTGTAAGTGGGGAAATCAATTAGCCCTGACTATAGCCTTTAATCGGTTTGAGCTATGAATTTCATATTTCACAGATTTTTTCTTTATTTTGACGGTCAATTTCGAATTTGGAATTTGAGCATTGGTCATATGAACTATGGCTTTAATATTTCACTGGTGCATTCAACGTGTAAAAACGTTTCCTAGGGTAAAAGTATTTTTGACTTTGATCTTTATGTTTGACTCACTTTTAAAGAAATTTTCAAAATTTTAATCTTAGCCATAGCTACTACACAGTTAAATCAAGTGATATCATACTCCTCACGCTTATATTTTTATAAGACCTTCTCTTGAGTACAAACAGTAATAACCTTTAACCTTGATCTTATGGATTTGACCTACTTTTCAAAAACGTAAACTGGGTACATCCCACTAATTATTTTTAGAATCGGTAGGAGAAGAAAGTAGTGCAGAAAAAATTGCAAATTCCTTAATTTTCAGACTTGACTAAAAAAAAATGTGATAATGTACTAAAATGAGCCTCATACTTCTTGATAAGGAGTATCTTTCCTAACAAGAAATTTATCAAGAAGATTAGCTGAATTATTTTGTGTATTATACCGCCATTGAGAATCCTGGAATTCCCCTACTTTCACTTTCATTTTCAGAGGTTGCTGCAGATAGACGCATTTTGCCGGAAAACGAATCTGACATGCCACCTCGAGATTTTAACCAAAGAAAGACAACTTGATTTGCTTTGATTTGAGGGGTCACTCACTGCTGAACGAAAATTAGGGACATCGATATGAGACGAAACGTTAACATTGTCGCCTATGGGAAAACAATTAGTGGACTGTACCCATATTAGTAAGTGTCAAAAAATTCATTTTTGTTCAATTTAAGCTTATATAATGAAATTCCTGAAACGTACCGTGTACGTATTGTATTTTATATCACTTCCTGTTATTGTAAGATGAAGATGGATGCTTTTATTAGGAAATATTCCAAAAAACTGTTTGAAAATAGCTCTGTTTCTATGAATGGAGAGTGTCGGTTATGGCATGAGAGAGGTTGTAAGTTGTATGGTCAAATAAGAGTTAAGTTACCAAATGGTGAATGGCACACTTATGCACCTGCTAAATTATCACTAATACTTAAACTAAAGCAAATCCCTCCCCACTCTTTAGAATGCTCTCATTTATGTCATAATCCCCTGTGCATTAATCCTTCCCACCTCATGCTTGAACCCCATGCTATTAACATGCAACGTATTAACTGCTTGGGTGAAGGTTTGTGCAGACATCACTCTGCTTATCCTGACTGCATGATTCAGCTTCATTTGAATGGTATGTATGCAATAACAAATTAAGAACCTCAAAATATTTCTGTTTTTTTTTCTTACAATTTTTTTTTTTTAAGGATTTTTTTTGGGGGGGGGGTGCCTCCACTTCCTCCACCAACTCCTCACCTTTTTATTTTTAACACACTTTAATTTTACAAATTACACCTTTTTTTTTATTTTGTACACACTTTAATTTTTATTTAATTCATACATGGTACACTTTTTTTTTAATTACCAGTAACTACAACCAGGTTGATCGGGATCGGTATTCACTAATTTCTAAACCCTTGTACACAGTGATGGCGGCAGTTTTGGCTCAAGTTGATACTTTTTGTAATCATTCTTCATTGAACCATTCTTTTTGTTTTTAACAATTTGTTTTGCTATTCGATGGCGAGCCACGGCACGCTTTTTTCTCTGGTTTATTGACTTTTTATGCTGTTTATAGTACTCGGATTTTTTTTTCATTTTCTTCAGTGCACTGAGTGACTGGGATTGTTTTCCGAGAGGAGCACCGACAGCAGCCAGTGTTTTACAGATAGCCATATCTACACCATTGTTCGACCTTAATATGGCTGACAAGGCACGGGATTTCGCATTTCGTGAGTATGTTTTATTTTTTGGTAAGCTTAGAGAGATAGTTCTGTTTACAGACTCACACTTGTTTGTTGTTGAATTTAATTTCATTTCGTTTAACGAACAAACTGACAACTTCATTTCAAGCAGTGACTCAAGGATTAACTTGTCATTTGTACTACATTTTAGTGCACCAGATTTTAAACCATGTGCGCGGAGTCCGACAGACTTGTACCACCAACTCGTTATTTTGCCACCACCACAAAGAGTTAAGCTCCACCTACATGAGTCACCGCAACTTCCTGTGTAACACTTTAGAACCTTGTCAGCGATTCTCGGTAAGGAGTTTGACATTTTTTTTAGGTCACCATTGTACTTTTTGAAGAGAGCTTTTAAAATACCACTGCACCTTTCTTTAATGTCATTCGACAACATTTCTTGTAGCTCTGCTTTTTGAACTTTAGTGTTTGCGGGGAACATTTCATCGCTAAAATTTGCTTTTACACCATGCTTAAATTGGCTTTGACCCCTATGAACTCTATCGGCCAGTCGACTTGTTTTCCATAGGGGAGATAAGAAGTCTTGTATTGCTTTTTCGAGCCCCACGGCACTTGTTGCATCACCATCAGTGGTTACGTATTGTACCAATAATTTTTTTTTACTTAGTTTTTCACCTATTTTATAGCCTAACTCTTTTTCGGTCAGAGGCTCGACAGGATTTTTATTTGCTGTACAACCGAAATGACCACTTGGGCACTGGACATGGAAACCCTCACCCTGAAGCCATGCTCCCACCCAGCACAATTTATTTGTCATATGATAAGATATCACTTGATGTTTGTCTGTGACATCTTCGCATGCCAAGCCAATTACTTGCGAGGCCCCTTGGCCCATTTTGTGGCGGCTTGTTATGCTACGGGATTGGTATGAGGCATCCATTTGTATATTGATAGGGTGAGATTCAGGCAGGCCTATTAATTTATTTCGTTCTTTTAATTGGTTTATTCTCTCATCCATATCGCACTCTGCAAGGTCAACAATTTTTTCACCAACTTTATTGCACGATTTAAACATTGACGATCGGGATGGGGGTGGGATACCTGTACATGCGAGGATCAATCGGGCCTGGTCATTTCCTACGGGAGTTTGATACAAAGCAGTCTGTATTGCCTCATTGATGGCTGCTGCTTTTCGGCCGGGTCCCTCAGAAGGGACCTCTCGAAAAAGTTTGTACATTTTAGATTTAAATTGACAGTTTTTACACTTAAATGTCTAAGTCCACCCTAGACCCTGCTTTACTTCAGACATTAATTCATAGTTGGGGGTGGCACAATCAGTTTGAGAATGGGAAACATTCAAGTCATTCAACATATACACAGTCATATCCCTATCCACAATCCTCATTTCTGTACTGTCAGGGGTCGTGACATGAGGAAAGAGGTCAAGGTTGCGAGGGTGGGGGCGTAATATTTTAACATTGTTTTGTCTTCGGACCCCGGTATGACATATGACTGTTCATCATAAGATTTTTTTGTCAAAGTTTCAAATTCATTAATTGTTAACCTAGGTAACCAAACAGATTTAAAACACTTAGCTTCTTTTCCGGACTTGGACACTCTCCCCTTTCTGATGGTATTTCCTATTGCAAACCTGTGTTTTTTTTCTATCACCTTTCATTTTACCTATGACTCAGTGCACCTATACCCAATTCATGAAATTCATTTGAAATTGTTTGTTATGATGACGTCATAAAAATGGCTGCCAGTCCTCTATGACATCATAGACATTTTGGCGTACAATTTTCTCACAACAAGCTCACTTATAATGTCATATTTATTTGCTTATATTTTCAATATTACTTGACCGATTTTGATTTGTAATACCTTTTTTAAAAGGTTACAGGCTCTAGAATTTTGTATAACTTCTTTCGGGGTATTTGAAGTAAAATTTCTCTTGTTGTTCATTGCGTAACATAAAAAGAGGTTAAAAAAAGTTGTCGACTCACACCAAAAATATTGCGTAATTCAAATATACGCAATTGCGTATACATTATTGTTCATTAAATCCTTTGAATTCATTAATTGAAAGATATTGATGTAAAGAAAAATATTCATTGTACCTGTTTGATAGTCAGTATTTGAAGGAAAAGAAGAGGTAGAAAATGACCAATTTTTTTCATTCATGAGCTGTCTTACAACAAGTTTTCAAAAGTCTGTAAAAACTTGAAATATGAACCAATTTTGATGAAACTTGGCATATAGATTGCATATTGTATAGAGTTAAGAGATATTTGATTAAATAGTGTAAACTTAAAAAATGCTTTTCCATATTGGGTACATCCCACTAATTATTTTTAGAATCGGTAGGAGAAGAAAGTAGTGCAGAAAAAATTGCAAATTCCTTAATTTTCAGACTTGAATTAAAAAAATGTGATAATGTACTAAACTGAGCCTCATACTTCTTGATAAGGAGTATCTTTCCTAACAAAATAGCTTAGCAAATGTAATTTATCAAGAAGATTAGGTGAATTATTTTGTGTATTATACCGCCATTGAGAATCCTGGAATTCCCCTACTTTCACTTTCATTTTCAGAGGTTGCTGCAGATAGACGCATTTTGCCGGAAAACGAATCTGACATGCCACCTCGAGATTTTAACCAAAGAAAGACAACTTGATTTGCTTTGATTTGAGGGGTCACTCACTGCTGAACGAAAATTAGGGACATCGCTATGAGACGAAACGTTAACATTGTCGCCTATGGGAAAACAATTAGTGGACTGTACCCAACTTTGGTCGTATTTACTGAATATTTTGTGCTAGGGATTAACTATTTTACCGGTTCATTTCTTGTGGTAAGAGCTTTTCTTGAATACCAATATTTTCTTTTTATATTTTTATCCTTTTATTTGGACATCAGACTTTGACCTTCTTTTGAAAAAAAAAACTTTGGTGATAACTTTTGAATGGTTGACTCCATGACTTTTATATTTCACCTACATATTCTTTGTGAAATTCTTTTGGGTATTATTTAAATTGACTCCTTGACCTTGTCCAGTTTGACCTACTTTTGAAAATCTCTAACTTTGGTCATAATTACTGAACTGTTGCTGCTTTTATGGTTTTTATTTCTTGAAGGTAGACTCATTGTGAGGAACTTTTCTTCTGGTACCAAAACTAGTTTATATTGACCTTGGTGTTTGACCTACAAACGACAACATTAATCATAAGCCTCTTTGTTTCACAATCCTATCTTGAATTTTTATCATTATCTCCTAAAACTTTTCCTATTGATTTAATAACAAATTTTGTAGTCTATCAAATTTTTGGATATACTAGTATATAAACCATAGTTTACACATTGCACAATAGAGAATGACTTGTCACACATATTGAATCATTTTTTTAAAAGATGTAGTCTCATAATTGCAAAAGTATTTGCAAACATATTGATTAATGTTACCTTGCTAAGTTTTATTTGCAAAGGCAGTTGCAGATATAAGATAACATCTTTCAAAAAATAATAAATCAGTGCTCATTTTTTTTTCTAACTCCTTGTCTTGTTTTGAAATTTAATTTCTTTTTTTAACTTACTTGAATTATCTCTAACCTAAATAACAATAAATTAAAATGATTTCAAATTTTGTTTTTAACGTTTGTGACGTCCAAATAAAACGCATAATACACATGTAACCTTTTAATCCCTGATCTGTGTTATTGTGTTTTGAAATTAAAAAAAAGAACACAATAAAAAATTACAGTATCGGTATAAGTCTACTATAACGTATGATGTGCATTCAAGAGCAGAAAGATCTATTTTTTTAATGATTATCTGTAGCAATAGAAGATATTGATCTTCAGAAAATGTGATATTTTTTTACTTTAAGCTCATAATCTAGTATCATTGAGAATCTAGTATCTTTGCGTTTCTTGCCACACCTAAAATTCAAGCTATCTAAATATATTTATGGTATAATTAGATTTTTGGAAAGAAATATTCAGTACGCCTCACTTCAACATTTTAGATTATTTTCTCTATGATATTAAAAATAACAATAATTTCAATTTAAGCGGGTTCAAGTAGATTAATGGATAATTAAATGCTCATTCATTAAAAATACTGCATGGATGGAAAAAGATGGGGATATGTTTTTAGAGAAGTATAATCTTAGATGTATTGTACAACAAAACATGACCATCAAATATATCTATGATTTATATAAAAAAAATATCTTAACATCTTTATTACAATGAATCTTGTCTTATCCGACATGCACGGTGAACAGATTAAAATATATGTGTTGGAATAAACAAGGTGTAGTATTGCAGCGTGTAAAGATCATTGAGATACTGTAAACTAACTTTTATTCGCGACGACTTTATTTCGCGATTTACCACGGATAAACTAGTTCGCGACGATTTATTTCCGGGATCAAGCCTTTTTGGATCTGTTGTTATTAGACACATACACTCTAAGGACCTGTACGCTGCAAGAAATATTCGCGATGACGTGGTTCTCGCGAACATCGCGAAAATTTCTCGCACGCGAATAAAAGTTGGTTTACAGTAAGTATAAATGAAATTAAATGGCTGAAATCACAGTAAAGAGTATTGCATGTGTCGGATTAAACAGGTTCCACTGCAATAGGTTTAACAATAAAGTAATCTACATCTCAATTATCCGTCCAGTTATCTCCATTTATCAGTGTTTGGAAAAAAAACAATTTTTTTCTATTTTCAAATTTATTACAACACATATAAAGTACATCTTTTACTGAATACATTCAGTATCGCTTTACAGACCAGTTCAACCCCCTTCTTTTACATGTTTATTACTTGATGTTAAATATTAAAAAAAAAAACAAAACAAAACTCAGCGATAAAAATTAATTTAAAATCGTCTCTTGAGGGTTTCCATAATCCATGGATGATCTTTCGTCTGTTAAAAAAAAATAAATTAATACTTCACAGATAAATGTATGATAGCATATTTTTTCTATTAAAAAAAAACAACTTTTATCGTTGAAATTTTCGGAGTAATACAAAAAGAAAAAAACCTTGTTATTAAGATGTAATGATGCTTACCTAGTTCCGTCTGATCATTATGGTGGTCCCCTTCACTGATGTCCCATTCTCTAAGGTGGGATACCATGGTTTGTACCAGTCTCCCGGGGACCATTGACCGTTAAGGAAGGCGAAGTGGCAGTAGTTAAACCACCAGCCTCCTCTACGGGTACTGTGGGCAGCACAGTTACTAGGAGACCTGTCATTATCCCTGTCTGGGGTGGTGAAGGACATCCCAGACAGATCGTAGTTATTGGGGTAACCAGTGTCTAACATAGAGTCACCTGTAAAATTTAACAAACGGAATCACAGAGATGATTTATATATCTCAAATATAATTGTCAATAACAATACTGGGGTACTTCTAAGATAGACGGCTTTAGGTGCGGAGGAGAGCGATAATATTTATATAGTTAAGTCCTAGATTCCCCGGAGTCTATCGTACTGGCACCTGTAGAGTTAGAGAAAATATATAACAGATCTAATAATTATTAATTTATATCCCATTAATACTGAAGTACGTCTGAGATACACAGTTTAACATGGTGTTCCCTGGAAAGAGAGATACAGTAAATACAATCCAACAAAACACTGCGCCATTCACATACATGTAGCACCTTTTCTAGTGTAACAATAAACCACAGGCGTGCTACACATTTAAGCATGGTATTAATATATGTCAGCGACGGTACCTTTAAAAATGTATGAAATGCAATGCAAAGTAACTCATTTAGAATTATAAGGATATAAGATATGGTATATCTATATATGTTTTAAAATATTAGATTTTCATTTGATAAAGCATAGGTATTGTAAATGTGAAACGCATTGAGGTGTTTTGAATATGGATTATTAAATTTTCTTTATTTGAATAAATCTCCGATCATTTTTATACGCCCGGATCGATAGAGCTATGGTGTATATTGTTTTTGTTCTGTCTGTTTGTCTGTTTATCTGTTTGTCTGTCTGTTGTCAACTTTAATCTTCGCCATAACCTTTGAACCATAATAGATAGAGACTTCATATTTAATATGCATATTCCACTAATAAAGTTCTTTTTAATGACATCAGACCTTGACTGTGACATATATGCTAAAAATAGCTTTTTTCGACTTTCTGCCATAGCTTTTGAACCATTCGTATTTGGTATGCATACTCCACTCATTAAGTTCATTCAAATGACAACAAGGTCAATGACCTTGTGACCTTGACTGTGACCAGTATGCTAAAAACAGCTTTTTTAAACTTTGTTGTCGCAGGGCACATAGTATTTCACAAACACATCTTGTTTTATCATATTTTTTTGTAAGCTTTTCGACATTTAAGATTAATAACGCTCTGAAAACTTGCTATTCCTTTGTATTTAGAATTTGAATTATTGAAGATCAGACTAGATTTTCATTTAATAGAGAAAAAAATATAGTAAATGGGAAACACGTTGCGGTGTTTTGAATTTTTTTTTTCATTTGAATATGTTTCCGATCAAATAATTTTCTTTGAACATCAAATTTTTGTGAAGATGTCGACACTATAGATCAAATTAACTAAAACTCCTTTTTCCATTGTAATTAAAATGTGAATTATCAAAAATTATCAGGAAACCCAAGCTGAATAATAATGGTTGAGCGATTGTAATTACTGGATTTGTTTGATTAAAATAATAACATAATTTTCTTTGTACATAAAATATATAATTTGAAATTCAAGCTACTTGAAATTAACAAACTCAATGTCTGCTTAATACATGAATTGTACCTGCAAATGACATTCTGAAATATTAAAATGTTTAATTGGCATGGAATCAAAAACGTATACAAAATAAAAAAAAGAAACGAATCTTTCTCTTTTTTATCAACTTCATAAAAATTCAATACAGAAAAGTCTTATTATGATAATATGCGTAATTTGAATCTAATATTAAGAACTTAAGGACCATCTCTGCTATATTTTTTTTTTTGAACACTGAGAAAAATATATCGTATTCAGGAGTTAATGTTGAGCTTATTTATCTTATTTTCACAGTATGGCGCGTTGCATTTACCATCGGGAAAAATGTGCAAAGACAACACAGTATCACTGAAAAGAAATCACTGTAAATTATTTCAATAGAGAAAATACATGTAAATAACAAGTTCAATTAATTTATCTTGGCCTTTTCAAATGCTAACAAATGCTAAATTAATTAGAAAAATCTGTTAAATAAATTAGAAATATAGGAATATATTGTAAATTTCTATTTTTTAGAATTTAGATCTATGGGCATATCTCTGTAACTGCAGAAAAATACCTTAGAATCAGAACTCTTTCGTGTGCAGTGTAGAAAGGGTTCTTAACGTGGATACACTTACCTAAAGTTCCCGTGGCAGGTCCTGCAAGAAAAAGTTGATATTTTCCAGCTTCGTCAGAGACAGAGAATCCGTCGTACATTTCATACAGCGTTGTACCATTCTGGAGAGTGATGGACACATACAGGGATGAGTTGTTTCTCTTTGTTAACAGGTGGATTACGTCATTTCCTGTATTAAGATACATTTGTAATCATCTGAAAATTCACCGAATACAGTTAATTCTTTTTAAAATATGAATCTACCGTAATGAAAAATCATTTTTTCCCCATAGCTATAGACAATAATGTTGAATTTGGTCTCATTTGAATATGCCGCTAAATGATTTTGTTCTTTTCTATTGTTTTTAAACTATTTGAGATATCAATTAAACACGATGTCTGAATATTGTAGAACACACATTACCTAGTCTCAAATTTAGATCTTTATTACCTCTTTATATTTTTTTTTTACCTACCACAAAATTTTTTTTATCTTCAAACTTTGAAGGAATAAAAAGTTCTTATTTGAAAGTGATTTATACATACCAATCCAGACATTCTGTTCTGGTGAACCAAAACCATTCTTATAATCCGCCCAGTTCCTGTCAAAGATCACGGATCCGTCTACGCGTTTCTGAATGGCCTTTGAAAATTAGTATGCATAAATATTCAATTAATTACTTCAAACAATCAAAGGATCCATACGTTATGATATAACCTACAATTCCATCCTACAACCCTTAATATCACCATAACAATGTGTGTTATATTAAGTACTTTTAATTTTAAAATAAACGACCTACCGTCCATCCCCCACCCATTGTTGTCATGTCGCAGTATACACTGATTGGTAATGTTAATGTACTGTAGGGGTATATATCATATACCCCCGTGATGGTTTGTCCGTTTTCTCGAAGATCCTTGCAATCTTTGGGCATTGCAGAAATATCTAAAAAAAAAAAAAAAAAAGAAGAATACCAGAATCATTCAATGTATATGTACAAGAAGTGAGAGGATATATAAAGCATGCATAATATACAAATGTTAATTGTTGATGTTAAAATGTTAATTACATATATAATGCGTATTATGTTAAACTGTTCTTCGTTATCTAAAATCATTCTTGTTTTTTAATTAATAAAGATCTTTGATTTATGACATGACTAAAAGTATTTAAAATTAAACACAATCATTTTCAATACTCTGTCGACTGAAAGAAATGTGGAAGAGAAATTGATTGTCGATAAGATGACAAACAATTTTGACACAGAAATAGATGTTGAAAAATGAAGTAAATTCATGATATCGTTTTGATGTATGATATAATGTCTGATCGATCGACAGGGAATGTTTAATCATCCGTGGCACAGGCCAACTGTTTTTAGGATTCACATCTTAGCTTTCAGAACAGCTGTTTTTAACATAAAAATCTTGAGATACTAGCTAAAATGTTTTTTTTTCCGTTTATTTAGTTACAAAAAGCCAAACTTTTCCAATGGTTTGGACTGATCATTGTTACAAAGCTTAAATGAATATTACTAAATGCTCACGGTGTAGAAATTTTTTCTTATGTTTTCCATTACATGCAAGGAATATTAAAAAAAAAGAGAAAATTGAAAATAGAGAAAATCCCTAAGTATAATTCAATCAATCTCAAATTAAAAAATAATTCCAAATAAAAAAAAAGATATATAAAGAAAAAAAATCAGGAAAGAGATGAGAATGTCATTAGAATGAATTATTTTGAAAATACAATTGTTTATACTAGATAAAAAGAAGTGTCAAAGAAAAATAATCGTGTCTATTCGAGAGGGATCTAAAAAAAACAAAGAAGCAAACAGAAAGATTAAAAAAAATTACAAATATACATACCGTCATCAGAGTAGTATCTCCAACTGGCCTCATCAGACAGCTCAATCGTAAGACTTTTCTTGTGGGTGCGGCATTTCTTTATTTGATAGCTGAAACCAAAGAAGCCGCACCCACTTTGACACAACGCAGCGCACTCGGTCAACGAATGAACATTGTATTCCCCTAAAAGTTCATAATTTGATTTCTTATCATTAAATTCCATTTTCGCCGTATATTTCTGAGAAAAAATGGTAGCTTTAGATAAAGCTAAGAAGCCTACAATTAAAGTGATAACCGCCTGACTGCCCATTTTTTTCTTTCTTAAGTGAAAAGACTGCTGTGTTCTTGTGAATCTGTGATATTCTGCCGAATGGTCCTTCTACAGCCAAATATATATGTCGTACCTTAATCAATGCCTGAAAAGCGATTGGCTAACTGTTACGTACTCTATATTTAACAGTTGTTTAAGTATCGATTTTATTGAATTTAATATGAATTTTCATAAGTGTATATTTTGAAATTGCATTTTAAAATATACAATAAACGTGTGCTGTTTATTTTACTAAGCTAATGCCTGTTATGTTGTGAATTTTTTTTTCATCTGTTATCTTTGAAATGAGGATTTATAATACTGGTATATATTTTCTTGAATGAAATAAAAAAAAATCAGCTCTTTCGAAAGAAAATCTCAAAGAAACAATTATATGATGACGTTATTATGATTCTCAGAAATTATAAAAAAATATACTGATTAATTCAAACTTTTATACATTAGCCTCCAAATGTTCATATAACACAATACATCATCATTGCTTTATTAACTTTTCAATCAACTTCAAAGGACCACAACGAAAACATCTAAGAGGAACGTTGACAGCACCGTGCATCTTATAAACTGAAACTGAATCTGGTTTATTTAATCAAACGCCTATTTTACTTCAACATATTCAATGGCGCTGTAGAAAGTCTGTATAAAAATATATTATCATATAATATATACAAATATACATGGATTCATGGAACGTAATGTAATTAAAATAAAGCATAAAAGTCCATAAAGTTGTAGCTTTTTAAATGTTTTTTTTTTTAATTCATGAATTGATTTTGATTTTTTATGTACAAAAGCAGTAAAAAGCAGGAATTAAGACGTATACAGGACCTAGCACATCTCGGAAGAATGTAGACAAAACCGAGCAAATCATAGAAGCTCGTAGACAGCACCAAGCACATCTTGGAAGAATGTTGACAGAACCGATTACATCATAGAAGCTCGTAGACAGCACAGAACACATCTTGGAAGAATGTAGACAGCACCGAGCACATCATAGAAGCTCGTAGACAGCACCAAGCACATCTTGGAAGAATGTAGACAGAATCGAGCACATCATAGAAGGGCGTAGACAGCACCGAGCACATCTTGGAAGAATGTAGACAGAATCGAGCACATCATAGAAGCTCGTAGACAGCACAGAGCATATCTTGGAAGAATGTAGACAGAACCGAGCACATTATAGAAGCTCGTAGAAAGCACCGAGCACATCATAGAAGGGCGTAGACAGCACTGAGCACATCTTGAATCTTATCTTAACATTTCGACTTTAAGGACAGATGACACGAACTAACTTTTATCAAAAACTACTAAAATAACAACTAGAGTCATCTTTTAATGAATACAATATGTAGTTTTTAAATTTCTATTCAAAGTTGAACAAAAAATAGTACTTGAATTGAAAAATATTTGTATAGAATAATTAGGATGGTTTCAGAAGGGTAGAATTTGAACGTCACAGGTTAACATTTTCCTTATATTCTAGAAATTTATTATTTGTATCATTTTCAATGAAATTAGGCTAAAAATACATACCAATCCAGACATCCATTTTTTTTTTACATCATTTGTCTTTAAGGGGGGCGACTGGGGTCAATCTCAAAGTCCATAAAACAATATAAAATAAGATCAGAGCAAACACGGACCCCCGAAACATCAGAGGTGGGATCAGATGCCATGGAGGAGTGAGCATCCCCTGCCGACCGGTCACACCCTCCATGTGCTCGTTGTCATGATCAGGAAATAACGGAAAAATCCGTCGTCGATTCAGTGTATCAATAATGGACTAACAATTTGTATGAAAAACGTCAGTCAGTATTTGACTCATTGATAAATGTATTTGCTGACAGGGTCATTGTATCGACCATAGAACTTACAAAATGATGACTTTAAACGAGACTGCTGATATTCATGTTTCATCAACTTGCTTGTCAATAATTTACCTCGTTTAAGAAATTGTTCACACGTAGAATATGCGTAAACGAGACTGCTAAGAGTATGCTCTTGCGTATCGAATCAACTGAGATATATATACTCCGTATGTAGGTGATGAAGGCATACAAATGTATTGCTGCATAAGTAAGGGAAATTGACGATAAAAAAGTTAAAGTCATCACGTTTATCATATAGCTTGGTTGTAAGATTATCATTAGCGTCTTTTTGAAGTTAAATATCTAAGTATGAAACAGAAGTGTCAGACTATGTAGTATCTTTTATCTCAAGCTCACCAGGATATATCGTATCGACGTAGAAATGGAAAGTACCATTGTTAACTACAATACGTCGTCGATATATCTAAATGTTGAGTTGTAGGCCACAGCAAGTGTTTTCTTCTTTTCACGCATAAGATTTTGCATGAATTCTGCTTCATATGAATATAAAAATTAGTCTGCTTATAAGGGAGCGCAATTTGTACCCATGAGATTTCCAATAGATTGTTTGAATACCTGGTCTCCAAAAACCACATAAATCCATCAAATATTAGGAGTTTGGCGCAGAGCACAAGACTTTGGCGTGACCATCGGAACTTTGACTTTTGAGTCCTACATGTACATATAGAAATAACTTATGTTTATAAATATTAAGGAAAATAGGTCTAAATAATGTTTTATTTGGAATAGGTAATCTGGTATTCGGGATAGATAAGATAAGAGTAACTATCCATTCTGTATGGATGTTACAATTAGAAATTTCAATATGAAACATGTGGAGATAACGAGCAGTATTTAAGCTCAAAGTCCATTAAACAATACAAAATAGGAACAGAGCAAACACGGATGTCCAAAGCATCGGAAATTTATATTAAAATATTCAAAAAGTTGGAGAAAAAAGCATTGTTTGTTCAGGCTTTTTGATATCATTGACAGCTTATTTTTTCAATAAAAATGAAACCATTCTAATTGTACACACACGTACTCTGAGTTCGACATAGAAAAAAGAAGTTTGAGTTTCTGGTTGACAATATAAATGTTGCTTTTGGAGACCAGGTCTTCCAACAGCCATTGGATTTCCCATGGATACCAACTT